GTTAATGACTAAGTAATCAGTTGTTTGCAGTACAGTAGTTTGTAAACAAGCAAATGATATTCAACACACAATTGTTCATTTGTAGAATTAAAATTACAGTAGTATTTATTCTACTTAAATGTTTAAATTTGTTACTTATTGTTGGTAGAAGACAGGTGTTTCGTCTTTTTAAGTGAACTAGTGGCCGATTCCACCATAATAAAAAATTCAAAAGGATCTTTGAACCATCAATTACAAATATAAATATAGCAGTCTAGACACCGCTTTACATCCGATGGTCGCGGGTTCGATTCCTCGCACGGCACAAATTGTTTGTATCGGTCTGGGTGTTTTCTATATATAATATGTATGTTTTTCGAAAAAAAAGTTATACTCAGTCACTCAGTCAGTTATAATACTGGGTACTAGACCCATCACACAAGCTTCAGCTAGCTTAATTTGGTAAGATGGCGCTGTGTGAATTGCCACAAAAAATAAAAATATATATATATACGTGTGTGTGTGTGTCAAATACATGGTAGTGTTTGTAATGTTTTATTGTGTTTTTATGCATAATTTAACTTGCAAAAATTTTACATAAAAACTTTAATTGTGCTTTCATATTCCTTCCGCGCAATTTCCATTAAAATTGTCAAAGTTTTTGCTTCACATTAAGATATAGACTTGTCGATAAATTGTTTTTGATCACAGTTATTGATATGTAAAACATAAGGTGGATATCTGGACCACTAAGATAAGTGGGTCATAATAAAAATAAAACAATTAATAATGCCATGTCATAAATGAAACATTACCTACATTGATGACAGCGAGTAGCGTAACTTTAGTATGTAAGTAATGAGTTCGCGAACTAATTTGGTCAGTGGTGCTGAACTACGATGTACAGTTAACCGAAAAAAAATACCGCAATAAAAAGTTCTAAATGAACCTGTTGCTATGATTCATCCGACGGTGCCAACCGCAATGTTAGTCAGTTGTAGGGATTCCGACGCCCGGATCGCTTGTAAATAAATTCGAATCGATATTAGTACTGTACTAACGAACGTTTAGATAATTCTTAATGTTTTTTAAAGGTGTTTTGTGTCACCTTGTTCGCGATGAACTGTTAGTGTTGTGGAATATATATGAAAATGAAGATTCGTACTGCTTTTGTACGCGAAGACTGCTACAGAATGTTTCGTAACCTGAAAAGGAGATTTAGGTTTGTAGATGAAGAGCATGTCATGAAATAACCCTGATTAGAGTTTACTAGTTTTTTTTAACTTTTCTAATGTTGTTGTCGTAGCTGGGTTTTACAGCTTCTCTAAAGAAAAATGAGGTGAATTTGTACCTGCAGATGAACTTAAGAACCTGACTGTTCGAGGAGGCACTGTTAAGGGTTCGAACCTCGTCTCAGACCGTCATAATTTCGATTCCCAAAGCTATAGAGGAAGAACCTTTGTAATTATATGTGGTGGAAAAGATGGAAAGATCTTGTTGATTTTTGTTTAAGCTATTCAATAGTGGATGTATAAATTTAAAGACTTGTTCTACATTGGTGCCAATAAATTCTTGTCAATATATTTCGGAACTATACAAGTAATCCTCCATTTCATACTGAAACACGTTGTAATACCGTGATAGCGGGTAAATATAACATATTTCTAGGTATTATTATGCATATTAGTAAGTATTCTATTTCGTTAAATACCTAGTTGATGTAAGAAGAGCGAACCCACGTAGGAAATATCTAACACGTGTAAATTCTTCCTCATTGAATATGGGAAAAACCGAAGCCTGATAGTCAGACTTTTAATAAGGGATGTAGTACCAAGTTCTTTCAGAATTAACGGTCAAAGATTTTGTTATTGCGTAGATGCTGCATTGCGTTTGAGTTTAATACAATATCGAAATTGCACATTATGGTCATTGCCTGGTTGCTATGTAAATTACACTAATTGGATTTGCAAAGAAGCTGACGGCCCACGAATTTAAAGATGACTATCGCCTAGAAACATGAATAGCACCACGGAAATTAAGAAGTATTATTTCACTAAAAGGCTAAACACCTTATACAAAGATGTCTAGTCTTCTTATCCCGTAATTTCTTTAATAGATTATAAGGGAATAGTTGTTTGTGGTAATGGCGAGGCATCAGTTCAGGATGATAAGATATGCATGAGGTCAGGTCTGTTGTCAACCTGAGACGGTACGTTGGTAGCGATGGGGTTATTAATTACATGTTACCACATTACGAACAACCTTTTTCCCGTACCCCGTAATTTAAATATCATATAATAATTTTCATACAGGAACATACTTTATTTAATGGCAAAATGGAAAATTTTGACAAAATTACCCAAAGGCCAAGGAGACCATAAATCATTACATAATATACAATAAGGTCGCTGCCCCTGCGTGTACTCTTAGATTTTTTAATTATGCAACGGATTTTAATGCATTTTTCAGCAATAGATAGAGTGATTCAAGAGAAAGGTTTATATGTATAACATGTACACTCACGCGCAATGGGGGCGGAGAGCTATTCGAATAATAAAGAAAAATCGCTTTTTTATCTGTTATTATGCAAACAAAACTAATTTGTTTTTAAACAGAATGTTACATATCTACTTAACATCATATCCAATTCCCGATAATTCATCAGTATCAATTCTATGTTGTTTCATATCACGTGGACGCTGTATATGATTCTGTAATTTCATATTTATAAAGTGATTGCATGGCCGTAACCGATTATATCGGTGAATCGTGCACGCTATTGCTCCAACATAGTGTTTTTGTTCAAATAATGTTATCGATTCAGTCGGGGCAATTTGCTAAATCGGGCGTTAGTGGATTTTTAAATAAAAACCATTTGTGGTTCTTTGTGTCTGTTTCCTACAATATTTGCTTCCTATAAAGCTCGTGATCATAAAAGACTGCTGTCATACAAATTATACAAACGAAACAAATTAAAAACAAAGAGAGAGACATACTAAGAGACTTTTACATTAAACATCAATCAGCAGTATGTTATTTCTTGATTATAACATTTTGTTATACCCTTATCTACATGCAATACTAAATATGTGAAGCAAGATTTTTGTATCCCTTTTTACAAAAATTGGACGGGTAATATGAAATTTAGCACTGCATTCTGTAGAATGCTAATATTTTTTAAATTATACATAAAAAATATTTAAATTCAAAATAAAAATATTATATACACACGTATAATATTCTTTTGTTTATTGTTAAACTCTGTGGTCAAATTGAGAATAGATTAATATAATTTATTTTTAATATTATTTGTCTAAAGTCTTTGGCAATAGCACCTTCATGATGTTCAAACTTATAATTTAAATTAATTGTAGTCGATTTTACACCACTGGGCGGGCGACCACTAATTTCTATAAATGTTTAAATACAAAAGTAGTTGAAATTTCAACGTAACCTTAAATTGTCATCTCTACATGGGAATATATGTAATAGGCTATTAATAATAAGGTTAATTCTTTTTCAACGAGGAAAAATGATGTTACAATTCAAACCTACGCTCAATCATGAGTAATAATGGCAAGTCCAGTCTTATGGCCGCTGACCTGACTCTAGTATAATGAATGTTGATAAAACAACGTGCCCACTTCGCAAAACCTCATTGTTGAAAGAAAAATGAGGTCGCAATTACGTGCATGTGCTTAGGTTTCGTTGACTAGTTGTTGTTACTGGGTCTAATTTGAAGTCTTTTAATTAGACATAATGAAAAATACAGACACTAATTCAACATATGAAATTGTTTTATATTATTATACTTATGTTTTAGAGTATTATGAAACTTTTATGTTTGATATTCAGAAATTCTTCATTTACTGTGGTAGGAAAGGCCACAAGAGACCTTTTTAAAATTAGTGCTTGTTTGAATTTATCAAAATTATTGATATGAAATGTAAGATATTTAATAATGATGATGAAAAGAGTTTTTTTGCTTCGAATTGAAATTACTTCTTTCGTGTATTGAGCATATATATTGATTTTTATTTTAAATATATTTGTGGAGCTTATTTTTATGAAAACACAATTTGATTGTACTGTAGAGATTAATATACAGGAGTCACCTGTTTAAGGAAATTTCCAACAGAAGAATTCCAATGTTGCCGCCGTATTCCTGCGGTACACAAACTTTGAGGCGTCGAAATTAAATTACAAAAGGTAATGTAATTTTGGGAAGGCTATGGGTTTCCAACTGGCATAGGACCTTGATAGAATAAAAACTTCTGTTTCAGCCTTATTCATAAGTTGTATAGTATGAAGTACCTAATATCTCTCTTCCTACCTATAACATAACCCACATGTTGGTTAGTTTTCCTTATTTTTTCGATCGGGAAGGAAAGCTGAAAGCAAATTACTGACATAGTCAAGCAGTCTTTTCTACACGTGCTCTTACCGTTGCCACTTACTTTCCTGATGAATATATTTTTTCGACAATATCGCGAACAGCAGGACTTTCTCGCAAGTATGCTTCTCGTTGCGAATTTTATCGAGCCCGATTATACCGCACATCCGCCTCAGCATCTTTATTTCAGCAACTTGGATGGTATGAACGTTCCTCTGAGTATATTAGTACAGTATGAAGTACAAAATACAATAGCAATTTGCTTTTGATCTAGACAGTTGAACACGTTGTTGATTAATTACGATTCTATTTAAATTGAGTTTTGCATTTCCTTGGACCATTTGCGGTATCTTATCAATTTCTCCTATCTTATCAACGACATTCAGTATTATCTAACAATTAACATGTCGTCCGTTTCAGTAAATACATTCATAGTTTGACATACGTCGTATCTAAAGGTGTCGTTTTATTGTTGTTTGCCCACAGTGCTGTGAACATTCGTTTCCCCATGACTCACCTCATCGCCATGCGGCTTCGACATTTTGAAGTTTTTTTCATATGAGATGCATCTCTCGAGCCTGTTAGTCGTAATTGTCATTGGATAACTAAATTGTGATCTTATTCAGTTATAAACATTGTTAACATGAGTGAAAAAAGGAAAGAAGAAAAAAAGAGAAAGGAAGTGCGGTGTTGTGGTGAAACAATTAGTTTCGATATGTTTATGTCAAATTTAAAGTTTAACGTTCGTAGAAGTTGGATACAAACTAAGAAATTGAAACAGATAACGTTTCATCAAGATAGGTAAGAGGTTTTACTATGATAGTAAGGCACTTGTGAAAAATTACTCCTTGCAAGAATTGATTCCGCGGAATTGCTGTATCTGAATTTATATTGAAATTAATATAAACACTACTCTGCTAGGTATCTTGTAAACCATATGTATAAAGTCATGACATGTAAAAATAAACATTTTTAATCAAGGTCTGCTCATGCGCAGTGTTAAGTATAGAAGCACTTTGTTGACTGACATTGATAAACAATACCGCGTCCGAGATGTCTATTTAACCATTTTTTATCATAAGATCAGAAGTATTTTCCTTAACTGACTCTCAATGAATGTTGTTCCAATTCATATCAGATGGTGCAATTTTGTACATACACTTTAAAATATTCATATTAAAAAATAATGTGTAATCAATTCGTATTATTTCAAATGTCAATCTCATATATATATATACTGTACGAGTACGAGTAATTTAATTCAGGATTGATAGAAAAAAATAATATATTAAAATATATCTTATGTGGCTACGCTTACAATTGCTTTTCGAGTTGGCTTCAGTCTAACAGACTCACATTGAGTCTGGCTTTTTAACAAATACAAAATATTATTCAACAGCACCCTAATGATACTATTAACTAACTACAATAGCCAGTTGCCATGGAATTCGGATTTATAACATAATAATTGTCTACCTACGTTGATCCAATCTTCATATTAAATTTCTTTAAGATCCTTTCAGCGGTTTAGTCGTGAAAAGGTAATAAACAAAAAAAAAAAAAAACAAACACTTTGGAAAAAACTAGCTATGTCATTGTAATAATATAATTTTTAGTAGTAATATCAGTTATGTTATAAAAAACCGATTCTTCAATATTATCTATTTTGATTTGCTTACTTTGTTTTTCTTTATTTGGAAACTTGGCCGGTATCGCCTACAAAGGCTTTGTTTCGTAGAATCAACTCCCCGCCTAAGGCGTATCTTATTCAAGTAACTTCCGGTTCTTGGAATACCTTTACCTTGACCACTGTCCATTACCCGTGTATATTATGATTTGCTTTCGAATTTTAATCTTTCTGCGGCGGTATTAAAGTTATTCTTCGATTGATACAGCAACATTAGTCAATCGGTCCAAACGATGTTTTTAAGCATTAATTTCTTTATCTATGTTTACTATTTTGGCCGTTATTTTTTTAAGTAGAATACTTTAATGATGTTGCTACATAAATAGAGTAGTATAATTCTGTAAATATAGTCTGTATATCTTTTCTGCTGATACAGTTTATTTACAATTACCATGAATAATTGTGTACACACTTATATCCGTACATTTTATAAAACAAATTCCCCTGTCGCGCCTGTTTGCAATAATCTTAGCGACCACTAAACGGATCTTCATGCTGTTTTCTTCTATAAACAGAGGTATTCCAGAGAAAGGTGTAGGTAGAATTCATGAAGGTTTTGTGTAAATTAACTGAAATACCTGCGATTAGGCGGGTCGAAGTATTAGTTTTTTATTAATTACACGTCTAAATATAATTAAGGTTTCACGAAATTATTTGTTAGGTAACTATTATTCCGATACGTCGGTATTATGTACTGAAAAATATGGATGCAAAGTTGTTTATAAATTGTGGTTTAATATTAACTATTTAGTAGGTACGTCTAACGTTTCATGTTGCGGAATTACTAAAAACTAATATTTATTTAATCTATTTTTGGAAGTAGGCAAGCGTGTACTCTACTTAGTGTAGAGATGGGCGGTTGTTAAAAAGTTCCAGTTTGAATGATTAATCAATTTATAAATCAGTGTTCACATTATGATTCATTCAAAATCGTATGATGAGGCGACAGAGCATATAATTATTAGTTACATTTGTTAGTACGTTATTAATTTGTACCTTTATTCGAATAAAAATAATTGGCTATTTGAGATTAACATTAATCTACATATATTCTAGGTTGTTATTATCATTACATTTATTTGATTAATGAAAATCACGATGAAATCGATATTAAGAATCGAATGATTGTGCACATTCGTCCATCACTAGTCTGTTTTTACTTCGAATGAATTTTCATACACAATGTATCCAGTACTTCTACGTACTTTATAAGCTATGTTTGCGCCCCGAACTATTGACACAGATGGCCAGTGTTAACCTCATCTGAGTGTGAGATTTATAATTTTTTATACAGCGATCAAAATACGACTTTATCTGTTTATATTACTGTAATGTTTTGCGTGTGCCCCCCAGTTCATTGGGGTGAGAAGTTCATTGACCATTTGTTACACGTCAAGGCCGCAATAATGCCACAGAATAGATAAGGTACCTGCTATATTAAGATTTAAGTATTATTTTTATTATTAATACAAAAAAAGTCTACTTTCTCACAAGGTAGTTAATTTATTATTAAAATTAGCATACTCTGTGGTGCGATATTATTATTTTCATAGTTTAGTTGACTAGATAGTTAAACCCCCTATATCATAAACACGTGAAACGTATTACATGTCTTTTTATCTATTAATAGCATAATTAATTCGTTAATTAATAATAATAACCGTTTATTATTACCTATTTACACAAACTGAACTATGGACGTCACGTTATCATGTGACACCAGTTCCAGAGGACTAAGATGCCATGTCATTTGTCCTGTAATGTTAAATAGCTATGCCTATTATAACAAGTAAGGACAACGGTCATTACATTAAATTATGTTAATTTCCTCCTATTTTAAAATCATCCATCCATCCTTTTTTTACGTCCACGTTCTAATATGGAATTAAAGAAGGAAAACTAGTAGGATCCGTGATGTCATTTTTGTTATATAATGTAGATCGATGGTCATATTATAATTGTTCTTAATAAAAGGCACATAAAACTTAATTTAGCACGATACTACTAAAACTCGTGTAAGTAATATTGTATATATTTTTTTTAAATACTAATTATATAATTTGTAATAGTAATGATATCTTACTCCTTTTTGGCGTGAAAATAACATTTTTTAAATCAGGCCAGTGCTATACTAATAAATTCTAATGATGTGGTTAGAGCATATTATAACACACAATTATAAAATAATTTATTATAAATACTTCGTTGAATGCACAAATAACGAACTAATATAAAAAAATGTAAATGCACTTACTTTGTACTTATTACTTTTTCTACTAATATTTTTCATATAATTTTCAGTAACTCCAATACTGCGAGCTCCTTTGATGTGAGGTAGGAGGCAACTGGAACCTTTTGCCTGCTTACCTATAACGCCCTTAAATTAATGCTTGTTTGTCCCATTGGTATACCGGATGACTTTTTTTTACCACTCGTAGAAAGTTAGTGCATATACGTTATTTCAATTAGATTGATTGTATGTAGTCAATCTACAATTACAATCAATATTTTGATATACAAGAAGATTTTAATTTTCTTCAATACTGTCAAAAAATCAATTTTACAATGTGAGTAAGCTCGGTATACTATATATGTACATTGTACATATACAGATTCCTACTGCGCACTATAAAAAAGTTTTTGCTATAACGAGTATGCGAACTATGGCTTAATAACTTACAGGAAAAATTATGTTTTGATTAATTACCAAAGACCAAAGAATATTATATTATAGGCCTTAATGAATATTTTGCAAAAGGTAATTGTACGAATTATTTACGTAATCCAATAGTGTTTAGCAGAAAAAATAAAATATCTGGAAATAAAATGTCAATAGAATTGCCTTCATTGCAAGTTATTATCTAAAGAGTCATCCGGTATAACACATTACTAACTGATACTACTAATATTACCCAGGGATATATAATCGCCACTTTCGTGATGCTTTATGGGATCTAAAATAAATTTAATATTGGTCTAATTGGCAGCTAATAAAACGGCAGCATATAAATTCTAAGATGGTCGTAAAAATTAACTACTATAATATAGACTATAATAAATGATATTATATATACTGTTTTAAACTTGACGCGGTCATTATTTATACGTATAATTAGTAAAAATCACGGGATCTTTTCAACCACCATGATCACGGGTAAACAGTTTACCCGTGATTATGGTGGTTGAAACACTAACGAAATATCGGGAACTCAGCAAATAAATATAAAACGTGGTAAGATCCCGTGATTTTTACTAATTATACGTATAAATGATATTATACTTACTAAAAATTAATATTAATTGAGTTAAGGAGAGAGTTATGTTGGGAATTTCGCTGCTTTGCAAAATCTGAAATGAGAATATTCACCAAAGACTTATAGCACTTTTAACCTTCTACTATGGTCGCGTGTTCGCATTCGCATAATACAAACAATCGAGTTCATGAGTGTGTTGTTTGTTTTTTTATAATTACTATATTTTATTTACAAAACAATGAACTTACTTACTTTGATCTCTTTTGTTACCTGCAGTATAATCTGTTCAGTTGAGACTAAACAAAACTGTGTTGTGTAAAAAGTGTCCGATCTTGAAGGAAAGATTAACAATTGGCCCATCTATTGCCAAGTGGCAATGGGTGGGCCACAGCTGCAGAAATTATTACCGGTGGGTTAAGAAAGGTACAAGCAAATGCAGTGTTGGACGACCACAACACAATATCGAATAACGACTTCAGTAAATTTTCAGGGAGTATATGCATGGTAGGTTTTAAGTATCATAATGAATGCATGGGTTGCAATAATAAGGTTATGGATTTTCCCGATTCCTATTCAAAACTTTCAATAGGATTAATTGCAAAAACGATATTGAGATCCTATTACGGCATCACTAAAGTAGAACTTCTACACCTGATAAACATTGCTACTAATAGTACATTTCTTTAACGTTTCTACTAATTACGTTACCGTCCTTGAATTCCATATTTTGCGTATGCAAGTTACCTAAGTTTAACATGTAACAAATTCATACCACATATACAATATATCATCAGCGAATTAAAAAAAAATCACCAAACAAACCAACTTTGAGTGACTGATGGTCGGTGGTTGGTAGTACTTTTATACTATCTAAGTATAATTGCGCTGCATGCCGTCGGCCCAGTAAACATGTAACAAAATTATTAATTTGAGTTTCACTCCTAATACAAGTGAGTGTACATCGATAGCACAACCGCTGTATTGAAAGGAGTCCAATATACAACCATATAAATAAAAAAAATCATGTAACAAATTTTATTTACTCATACACTCCCGGCCGCGGTGGTCTATCTGTTTAGCTTTGTTTTCAATGGCCGCGGTTTCGATTACCCACATGGCACAAACTTTTGTTACCATGAGTATGATTGTTTGTATTTGGCTGGGTGTTTAAGTAATACGTATGTACTTGCAAAGAAAAAAAATGTTTTTAAGTATACTTGCTCAGATTAGATTGGAACTAGATAGTGCTGTGTGAATGTTCAGGGATATTATTATTATTAGTAACAAGATATGTCCTGATTGACCATCAACTGATCCGTCATTTTGGGTTTACATTTTTGTATACGATTATTTTACGAAGTTACCATGTTATTTTACATGTACCATGTTACAAGTACCATGGGAACGATGAAATTTAACTGTTAAAAATATGTGTTACAGCCCATGTAGACAAAATAGCGCTCATAAGTGTAATATGTAAATAAATAATGTTGCCGAGAGTAAATAAAAACTTGATGTCACAATGCCTTCTCTTTTACGGATTCGATATAGAAGCCACAATTTGTAGAAGTTAACTATTACCACAGTATAACTATATTTTAAAAGCATTTCTTACTATTTTTCAATCTTGCGGTTTCTTGAAATTCAGATGAGGGCTATATCACTTGTACTAACACTGTTCTGAGGATTTGTTAAATTGCATGTTTAATTTATCCAATATTATACCTACCTCTTTAGTTTTAAATGTTATGTTAAAATTAATTTATCCTTGCAATTTGTATTAAACCTCAACTGCCCATAGTACGAAGTCCTACGTAGAATATACCAAAAGTTTCCTGTTACTTATTTATAAATATATATATATAAAATTAACTAACGACACATTGCTAAGATAGATAAATAAAGCCTTGTGTACTAATATTACATATGATTCATCATTTAAAATGACAATTTTGTACTACTGTTGATTACTTAATAAACACGTAATGTTAATTGAAAAAAATCATATCTTATCCGCAGAAATTCTTCATTTTAACGAGAAATTCTGCTATTTTACAACTTGTTATACTTTTTTCATACAAATTATATAATAGTAGTTGAACCCCACAGCTACGTCTGCGTCACATATTTCCCGTATCTGCAACATTTGTAATTGCAGCTCCGTTCCTATTGGTCGGAGCGTGAATTCATATATAGCCTTTGACACTCACAAATAACGTGACTACTGGTAAAAGAATTTTCAAAATCGGTTCTGCAGATCCAGAAATTACCATCTACAAACTCATACACTTTGTGTCTTTATAATTGATTATATTCTATATGTTTTCTATACACGTATGTGTTACGTATTAACGTAATATATTATCTGATACATTCACTTCGATAGAAATTGTTATTTTGATCTTTATACGTGTGGCAGTCGTGGCCGAGCGGTTAAGGCGTCTGACTAGAAATCAGATTCCCTCTGGGAGCGTAGGTTCGAATCCTACCGACTGCGAATTTTTTAATATGCTTTTTTTTGTTACAGTCTACGAAAAGGACCGGGTGTAAATGTAAAGGATGATAATGGTTATACACCACTCCACCACGCGTGTTTGCACGGTCACAAGTGAGTATGTTTTGATTATATTTTTTATCATTCAAATTTATACATAATTTATAAATTAATATGATAAAAAATAATTCTAATAAGTAGCATTATGTGTATGGAATAACACAATAAAATGGCGTGTTATTTTCTTTTTGTTGACCTATTTATTTTCAGTTAACTAAGAATAAATACAGTATTAATAATCAACTTGGTAGTATGTTCATAAAACGACAATATTGCTTCCACATTATTAATTTTGCATTTATTTTTAGTCAACTGGAAACAAATACATTGTATTTGTTGTACTTCGTACTATTACTCATTATGATATTGTAGCGATACCGGTGAAAAGCAAATCGTTGCTTCTTATAAAATAGTAGGCGCTTGCATCAAACATTTTGTGAATCTTGCATCAAACATTCTGTGAATATTAAATTATCTCGATTTAATTTACTATGTTAAATGAATCGGTATTTATTATTATCAAAGCTCCTTATTAATATTAAAACTATACTTTTAATTAATAATCATTTGTGTTTTATTTGATATTTGCATTTTAATGTAATCCTGCTTTCTTGGTCTTATTATATTTAGATGTTTGCAATGATGTTGCAAATGATGATTCTAATTTTTGGTACTTGGTTTAAAAAGTATTGATGCTTCAAGAATTACTCAAAACATTCACACACTGCTATCTAAACCTAAACTAAACAGAGTACTATGTGTACAAGTGATAGAGATACGATTATTATGTAAACACCTACCTATAAAGAATTCTTTTAGCCCGATATATCTAAGCTCGTGAATACACATGATAATGGTGTGGTACTCTGGTCTCTGGTATACACTGGTGGGGCACCATTGAAGAATCGTAATATAAGCATGAGGTTTGGTCAGTTAGCCCATCGTGACAGATTTGACCAGTAATTAACCACGATAACGTTCGACGGGGAACCACGTGAAATCGACCTGACTCGGTACATTGCTAGCAATGGGGTAAGCAGTGCCACCTGCTCACATTTTTTTTTCATTCAACACAAATCTTCGTGGTTGTCGTGCGAGAATCGAACCCACAACCATCGAATGTAAAACGGTGTACCAGACCCTAGACTACCATTTTCATCGTTATGTCATTATGTTAATTTATTATATTGTTTTCAGAGAAATTGTCCGTTTACTACTATCGGTAGATGCGTCGCCATGTGTGGTGGACAAGAAAGGTGCTACTCCGCTCCATCTAGCGGCATTCAAAGGCGATTCCGATGTTGTCGCTATGCTGCTCGCTCACAACAACCCCCCAGTGAACGTAGATCAACTGGTGAGTATTTTTGTTAATCCCCAATAATTATACTTATATTTTTTTTTAATTATGGCTGTTCTCCCTGAGCTCTTTTGCCTTCGTTTATTTCTCTCTCTCTCTACGTATATACCATATCTAGTCATAAAATAATATGTAGGTATCTAACAACATAATACATAAATATGAGTCTTTGTGTCACCCACTTCTGTGAGCAATTTGTTTGCGATGTGAACAGATAAATTCCATTTTCTACAGCATATTGCTATTGCCCCGAATTTATATAAGGATTAGTCTAGTTTAGGTTTTTGTTTTTATTTTTTACTAGCTGACCCGCGCAAAGTTCATCTGCGACACATGAGACAAAGAGGGTTGATTTACGTAACACACGTCACGGAAGCTTTCAGAAGAAATAAATTAACCCCGTTTTTGCAATATTTTTCTTTTATGTCTCGCTCCTATTGATCGTATCATGATTTTATATGGCGTTTCTGGATATCTTTTCATGTTGGATAACCCGTTGGCTATTCAACACTTAAAGAACTTTTCAGTACAAATACTTCATGATATTAGAGCTTTCAAAAAATAAACAAATTTGAAGAGTTTTATAACATTGCAATAGATATTTTTATATTGGGAATGGCTTGGTCACAGAAATAGATAATACACTTGCTTCTACAAACGTCTGTAAAAGAGATTATGTACCTATGTCTTCATCCATATGGGGAACGCAAATTATAGGTAGGTACGTACTCATCTCTCTATGTTAGACCACAACCTGATTACTAGCAGTTTTGTATATTCGTCTATCAATATTTAAAATATAAGTATCCTTTTTATATATATTGTATTGTTATACACTATTGTCACTGCGCTCTAGTAAAACGTCTTAAAAGATTTTCTTATCATTTATTATTACTTTCAATATTCAAATGCCGTTTATCTTTACAGACATCAGACCACGAGACGGCATTGCTAATAGCCGCCCATTTCGGTTACGTGGACGTAGTAGGCCAACTCATAGCCAAGGGAGCTGATGTCTCTGTCAAGAATAACAATGATGAGAGCGCGTTGGACCTCGCCGCTCAGTATGGAAGGTGAGGCTATGATTATTATTTTTTTATGGGCCTGGAATTATAAATAAGCCTGCAACCCTGATTGATAACTAACGCTTATATACATGGACAACATCACGTGGTCCTGTGACTATCACGCCATTCGCCTTGAGTTGCTGTTCCTGAAGACTAACAAATTACCAACTGTGTCTAAGTCGATAAGTTTCAAGTAATATCTTATGAATATTTGTAATTTCGTCTAATTCTATTATTATCTTTGGTGACTTCTGTGGCCATTTTGTACGTTTATGTGCTGTGCCCACGTGAACCCAATTTTTAACCTTTATATTATTCTGATGTATAAACTATATTACTGTAAAGTTTCATCAAAATCCATTCAGTCGTTTTTGCGTGAAAGAGTAACAAACATCCATCCCTACTCACAAACTTTCGTGTTTATGATATTAATAGGTTTAATTATTTTTTAATAAAGCTGTTTTTCAATATAAATTGAGTGCCATAAGAAATGCTATGCCTTAAATATGACCATGTATTTTAATTCATGAAACTCTGAGGGGCTACTATTTTATGTACGTAATGTGGCAACAATTTCTAAACTGCCAGAAAACTAAGCTCATCCCGGCACCGAAGTGGAAACTTTAATTTGCCAAAGTTGTTCAGACCGCCTCTTTAAATCATAAGTTACGCTATAAGCCGTTCAACTCTGCGACTTTATTCGTCAAGTGTTCTCAAAGTTTGTAACTTCCGCGGGTCAGGTACATGTTTGGTGCGCACACCCCTAGCCTTAGTTACCCACAAGATTACTTGGTTTATGTAGTTTGGAAATAACTACTGGTTTTGAATACAACTTGCATACATACCGTGACCTTATGGTACGTTATCGGCGGGATGGTTCTGCTTTCGGGACAACAGGACAGTTGTTATGAGCTACAGCGAAAAAGTCCAAATCTTGCAAACAAGTTCTATTTTTACTTGAAAATGTGGTTATTAATTGGAATGGCAAAAAACTGTCGGCTATTTATATACATAAATAGCACCACGAACATAAAGTGACGCCTACCCTCTAATGGATACCACATCCAATTCAAACGGGGATCGAAATTACGACGGCCTGAGCTGAAATTTGGCCTTCCGCCGGTCCATGAGTCCTTCCGCGGGTTTGTTTATTAAAATTTGTATCAATAATTTTAACTCTATGGTATCTGTAGTTGTAGATAGTTGTATCATATTAATTTGTGTTTGTGATTACTCTATGCGTTTTATTTGAAATATTACGTTGTATTTTTTCTTCACTTTGTTATGAGTTTTTGTAATAAAGTTTACCGTTTATATTTTGGACATTTTATTAAAGAATAATAACAATTCTATTTTATTTAATAAATTAAAAATTTAAACCGAATATATTTTCGAGTACATCGAGTTTCAAGCTAAACAAATAAAACTTTATTCACTTCAGCGATCCCAGACCATATTTTATACCTGTTTGACGGTGTAGACCAGATATTTGAAAGTTTTGTTCTAAAGTTTGGCATATTTGTCTTACTAAAAGACCGGTTTGCGGCGAATGCGGATGCCCCTTTAAAATTCAAGAAATCCCGGATACACAAAGTTTGACATTCAATGTAAATTAAATTTTCGTTTATAATTTGGCGTTCATAAAACAGAATTATAATTATATAATTTTTGAAAAATACCCATTTGGATGGAAGTTACATATTTACTACTATTGGGACCAATAGATAGTACCTACTTATTGTATCGTGGTAAGGCGTTCTAAAGGTGACATGTTTTTTCTTAGCTCAATTTACATTGCATATGGTGATAGACTTATTTAAGTGTTTATTTTGACTAAACTTTATTTTTAAAAAAGGTCACTTAATTGTATGGGTACAAGCAACAATAAAACAAAAACATGAACACAGCCAATTTATCTATGCTAATATTATAGAGATGTAATGTTTGTGGGTTTGTTCGGTGTAATATCTGGTACTAATAATTCGATTTTGAAATGTTAGGTGGCCCATTTATCAAGAAAGTCTATAGACAATATAAAATCACGCTACTACCCATAGGTGCTGAGCTAGACTGAAAAATGTTACAATAAACTGTGAAAATTTGACATAGCCGAAATAGCCGGGCCAGCTTGTTTTGTTTACATAGATGCATTACAATATTGTTATTACTAAAACTCGAGCACTATCGTTGTCCGCTAACCACCACATCTACTCACCCTTGCTCACATTTCTGTATCTATATCTTTATTTATTAATGTTACAAATGCAATAAAGTATAAATATATAAGAAGTATCTATCAATCAGAAACGGCTACTAAATTTACGGGCTTGTTCCTATGAATCATCACAAATACTAAGTTAACAATGTTATCGGTGACATCATTTTAGACAATTATTAATTTGAAATAATATATTAGAGCATTAGAACCCATAACATATGCCTCTACATATATACATATACCTCGTCATTTAATAGAACTATAGAACTAGTATTTACATATTAAATTAATAATTTGTGTATGTATTTTTTTTAAATACATTTTAGTCATTACTTAAATTTAGGTATTGTACAATTAGTTGTTATTGCGTCATAATTCTCGTTATCTAATCTTGACACTGCACAGATAAAAAAGAAAATTGTTCATACATTAAAGTACAGGTTTTAGTAGTGAAATTAATGTCATAGCTGAGTTTGATTCTATATAATAATATAATAGCTTAGTGACTTTGTTCTAAAGTTACGGTTGAAGTGCTAAGTGTAAGGTTTTCAAGGATATAACCTAAGTGTGATTCTTGGCTTGTTTTTGAATCGTGTTTACTAAATATTTTGATCCAGTGGAAGTTATTACTAAGGTATTTTATAAAGTAACAACAGTTTAAACTCATGGTACGTTATCAGTTAACACATAACATGGAATAGTAAGTTTCAGTATTGTAGTCGTGGGCAATTAGTATTAATAAATATATTAGTACTTCATCCTTAGTGACAATATTGACAATTCTAAAAATTAGTGTACTCTTTTTGTTATTGTGATAAAGTATATTTTTTTTATATTTTGGCCTGAACTTACTTGTTTATAGGCATATGCTATGATTTTTGGAAATATGTTATATATACTTTTGTCATTGTCACATTATTAATGACTCCTCAAATATTTGTTTACTTTTTCAATGAATTATTATTGTGGCAAGGTATAATAATAGTTAAATGTTGTGTTCCTTGTGACCGTCCCGTGTTTATTTCGGATTTTAATAGTATCAAACATACTAAATTAAATTATAAATTATGTAGATTGGTTTGTACTTGAAATTTTATTTAGTGTAATCTCAATAAATAAGGATTGATAAATAAATTTAATTTCGTTAATAACGAATTTTGAACTTTAAATAGTTACAAAATCAAGTGTCCTCTTATAACATAAACGAATATCCTTCTATATAGGTACATAAATTATTCTATGTCTATAAACAAATTTATACTTTATTTTTTTTATCTGTACCCAATTAATATTACTAATTGTGTCCTTCATAAAAGCATTAAACCTATTTTAGCTAATAGAGTGTTTCCTTTGGTTTGAAGTATTGTTTTTAAATAAAAATATTTACTAAATACCTGCTATGATGGTTAAAGTGAGCTTGTAGAAGGTTTTAATTGTTATAACTGGGAGAGGGTTAATATGTAAAGTAAAAAAATCATTTATGGCCTCTCATATATTCTATTTCTCGCGACTCAAAATATAACAAAGGGTCAGATAGATGAACTTTCGTATTTATAATATTAACTAATATGTATAATACGGATATCAGTAACGCTATCCATCTCTTACCAGGTCAGAGACAGTACAACATTTACTGCGAGTCAGACCTCAGCTGGTAGAGCCCTACAAATTGCCGCAGAGTCGCTCGTGGGTGTACCCATCGACGCCATTGCATAGGGCCAGTAAAAACGGACGCAAGTGAGTATTAGTTTCATATGCATATTTTTGGTTCTTTGTAGCTTAAAACAAACGAGCTTGCGATTCACCTGATGGTAAGTGATTACCGCTGCCAATGAGCACCCACAACACCAGGGGAATTACAAGTGCGTTGCAGCCCTTCAAAGAGTTTCTTCCTTCTTAAAAACGAAAACCGATACCATATTGTATTTCAAGATAATTTTACTATCGGTTTGGAAATACCATTGCTGGAAAGTGATTACATAATGTGGTTGTGCCTGCCAAAACCGTTTCTGGAAGAATGCACGGTGGAAGACCGCCATTTATCCAGATGATCGGGATGGTATTTTTGTTTCTGGCGGGTAATATGATGGTAAAATTCAGCAGCAAATTTAGCATGTATATATACAATGTGTTGTGTGTTTTACAAATACTTAGATTTTTACAAATACAAACATTATTGTTGTTTTTGTCTACTGTTACTGGTATAAGAGTGTATTAGTTGAATTATGTGTTCTGATACTAAATTTAAAGGCAATAAGAGCATTCCCCTACACCTGCGTAGATATTTACCCGTCGTTATTATTTTATGCTAATGTAAAGGCGTGTACACACGCGCGGCAATCGCCTCGTATTCATATTCATTCGTTCGTTATAACGCATCGATAGGTTTCGCGCGTACGAATTTACGTTACTACAGACTGCGATGTGCGAACGGGAAATTAATATTGATGCGGTATTATTAAACTGGCTAGATAGCTTTGATATTGTTGATAATACCAAAGCTACCTAGCCGAAGTAGCGTAGCAGTAGTAAACACTACTGCTACGCTACTTCGTCAGATTTTTTATTTTGTATAAAAAACATAACCTATATCCGTCATCGTGAAACAATACAACAAAATTATTTAAAAGAACAACACTCAGTTTCTTCTTGTAATGAGATAGCTTGCCGAATGATCAGTAGATTAAAAAAAAATTCAAAGGTGCTTCAATGTAAGTTTATTTGAATAAATGATTTTCTATTCTATTCCATCTATCTTCAATCAATATTTCGGTAAGATACGTTAAGCCGCTTAGTCTTCGAATATCTAAAAACAGTAATATAGGTCCATAGTCTACTACCTGTAATCAAAACTAAACCGTATAAATAAATAATAATGTAAGTTTGTTCTTTAAAATTCATCATTAAAATTTCGTGTAAATATGGTATTGTTACGTGACTAGTGTTATTCAAGGGTATAAAAAGATCCAAAAGTGCGCATTCCAATATCTAGATAGGAATAAATTATTAGATAGGAACTTCTTTCCAGGGTAGACCGGCTTAGCGCCCATTGACAAATAATGTTTTTAACAGTCTGACGATGCAGTGAATCCTATCAGGTCGACGTCCATACGCTGACCTAAAGACCATCGTGGTAATAAATGTTGAATTGGCCACAATGGACTGGCTCTCCTGACTTCATTCTCATCGTATCATCCTCTACTGCTGAACATTTCCGTCAGTTTCCGTGAGCGTAAACCATTATTCTAAAATCATCCATAAACAAGCAGTCTGAAGATAATGTAATTAATTTTAATATTTGTATTAATTTATTATGATATATTAACACATCTGATATTTTACTGTTCAATGTCACAAATTTTCCGCGTGTATTGTCGAAGGGTTAAATTGGCAACGCGTCGAGTGAGGTGCCTTGTGCTTGTTGACTTGCTATTATAATTCATGAACGCTAGCGATAATACTAGTGTGAATTGGAATTTTTACAGTAAAATTAGTCGAAATTACTTTTTACTGGAAATACTATAGAATAAATTATTTAAAATATTTAAATTGTATTGTATCTGTGAAATATATCTATAAAAAAATATTGAAAATTTTATTTTCATCTTCGTATAGCGATTAATACATTACTTCTAAAAATATCTAATGAACTAGATTATCCATTAAATTCGTTTTTTAAAAAAATAACGGTTTTCTTATAAATAACAGAATATATTTTATTATTTATATTATGAAATTGTTATGATTATGTAATTGTATTGTTGCAATACCATCTAAATCTCAATTTGCTGTTTTAAGTTTTGAATTTCTAATTATTACATATTGATTATATGATATTATATGTAGAATATGGTTCTTTTCTAATGCAGATACGAAATAGCTCCAAGATTGCATTTACATTAACACAATGTAGTTACAGATGCAATCAGTTTCATTTTTACAATATTATTTTGAATTAAATTTATAATATAAAAAGAACGCTCTTTGCTAATGACTTAGTCCCTGTTGTGCTCATATGCCTTCTTACGTTGTCGTTATAATATTTAGCAAATTGAGGTATTTTAACATAACAAATTTCATATATTTTCCTTAACGAATATTGAGATTGTGGCGATTTGTTTTCAGAACGTTTGGTATGTAATTTAAAAAAAAATGTTTATTGGCATTTTCTGATATATTCTGGATGGAGTAAGGTATGAGAACAGCTCCATCCAGAATGTATGAGAAAATGTAAATTTCTATATCATTAATTTTTCGAGGTTGGAATACTTGAACAGAGACAGATTCTACAAATCAAAGATAAAAATCGTTCCTATCGGTCTTGTATTGTAAGTAGTATAACTAAACTGACGTAGTTTTATTTATATGTATACCGAAGTGTACCTACCTTTGTACAAAGTCGTCTATATAACTATTTCTGTCTCACCTATTTTCCCTGCATATTATTTAATTTATTTAGTGTACTTTATGGTTGAAGGGTGACAGATATGGCAGTGAAAATACTAGCATGTATCGCCCTTATCTGCGGTATCACGGATGTCATATGTCTGTATGTGTTGTTCATGTAGTACCTATATACTTAACACTCAATGCTTCATTATGAAATAATAATAATGTTTATTTTCTTTTATCTCTTTCTTTATGTTATATAAATTTTTAATAAGTTTCTATATTTTTTATATTATTGTCACTGGTTTTTATTATTAATAATAGTATTATATCTAACCAGCCCGGTTAGATACGGCGGTATTTGTTACATGCGTCCTCGCCTATATCCCTCCGGGCAATACCTGAAAATCAGTGGTTTGTTGCTCGAGCAAACAATACACTGAGGTGCTGCCTTTTTTGTGTATGGGGAAGCACACATACTATATTAGCTACACGTTTTTTTGTACCTATATTGTATTTTGTTCATTGTCCAATGTAATTGTGTATCTATTTTTTTTTTGTTTTTTATGTTACTGTGCCTTGTGTATAAAACTTTTATATGCCACCCTTTAACAGGTGTGCCTTTAACAGATAAAAGTTTTATCTCTATCTATCTATATAAGCAAATATTACCACTTATAATCAGTTGGACCGTTGTTTGTTTCCCATCCAGTCATATATAGATTGGTGATGTTCCTACTATTCTTTAACAGGGAGGTAGTAACTGCTCTCATAAACGCTGGTGTGGATCCCAACATCAGGACTCATAACGGCACTCCGCTACACGAGGCGGCCTGCTTTGGCAAATCTTCAGTCGTCCGTATACTTCTATCGACGGGAGCGGATTTGGATGCTGTTGACTCTAAAGGGAGAACCGTTCTCGATCTCTTAGCTGATTATTCAGAAGAGGCTACCAGAAGAGTGCGAAGAGTGATTAGAGGTAATTAAAATACTCTATCTTGTCTATTACAATGGTCTATTCAACTTTCTCTTTGCCTAATGTTGTGTATATAATTTTCTGAATATTATATAATATAATATAACAAGTTAGACCCTTCAAAAATAGGCTTCAAATCAGAGACCCCTCTGTTCGATTATATTTTTATGTTAAACTAGCTGTGTCCTAGGGTATATTTATACACGATATTTTGCGTTTATAATATTGTTAAGATGTTAGTTGCCTTTGAACCTTTTTTCAAGTGAAGCAATTTTGATGATTCTTTTATATTTTAAAAACCTTGCTTCTTATGTTATCCTATATAATTTGATGAAGGTAACTTTTGTGTTTAATCAAGTTAATGTTAATTGAAGTCGATAAACAAATAGAGACATAAAAAAGGGGATCAAATAATATATTTTATTTTTAATTATGAGCAAACTGCGTGCACAATCGGATATAGTAATCACGAGTGATCAAGTTCATTGTGAATAATATACAATAGTTTCATAGTTTTTGTTATTATTATTATTTATTTTATTTTACATATAATTTATATTTATTAAAGACTTTTCTGCAGAGTTCGAAAACATGCAAAGAAACACATACGAAAGTGAAGAAGATCTGCCCCCATTTCCCGTGCCGGACTACAGTCCCACCGGCTATCAGCCCGGCAGTGTAACGTGAGTACCTTTTACTTGTTAATAGTTTTATGAACTAGAAAAAAAAGACAACCTTCATAATGTTAATATGAGATATAGTATGTAAGTAAATTAAATTATTCTTTGGAAATCTTAATTTGAGGGTTCTTAACATGTTAAAGACCGCATGGCCACCGGTGGGTGGACACTATGCAAGGAAAGTAAATTTACAAGGATCCGGACCAGGACCAGGACTGGGACCGGATGATCATCCTTGGGCAATTTATTGAAATAAATCTAAAAGTTAAATAATGTCTACCTCTAAATAAAATACGTATTTAACTATTAAAAAATTCCGGTCCTGGGTGGTAAATAAGATTTTTCAATGCGGTCTTCAACGTGTTAATTAATTTACTGTTCCTTATAATACTTATTTTGTTTTTCGTAGTACTTTAATTTTAATAGGTTATTTATTATATTACGATACTAATTATTACTATTTAGAAATAGTAATTAAGAATAAAATTAAAAATACTACGAGAAACAGACATAAATATAAAGTAGAAATCAGAAAGTTGAAGAATTATATTTATTTAACGTTCACAAAGTGAATGAGTTGCATATACCTACTTCATTTTCTGTTTTCTCTACATATCATTTGATATAAGCTATTTACCTAGTTTATAAAAAATTGTAATGCAAGCTTAAAGTCCGTTTATTATTGCCAAATGATTTTGATTTATTTCAAATTGGTATTGGAAGTGTACTTACTCCAGATGAATATAAAAATAATAAAATGCATAACACTTGGAAATTGGTTCGTTTGTCTTCATGATAAGTATGTGTTGTACATCATTAGCATAAAGACAAACCAATTTCCAAATATAGTAAAGTAACAAGTATAATATAATTGAATAGAAATTATCAATTGCACCATTTTTATTGTTTTATTTTAATTTTGTTCTAATATGTTTATTCCTCAGTTTTTATTTAGCTTGTTTAGTTATTGGCTTTATTTAATGCTTATTTATTATTACAATATAAGCTTTTTAACACACTAAAACCTAACAACACTAAATGTAATGTTTAAAATTATTTCACCGAATTGTGAAAACCGCAGTGGCAGTTGAGGTATCTAAACGACCGCGTCTGCAAGTGGGCGCATAAAGGAATCCCCTGTAATTACTGTAAAGATCCTCCTCAAAGGGGGCCCTAAACATTCGCTTTTAATTGGAGAGCGATGTCTCAATTACGACATAGTACGCGTCTCAACCTTTGAACTCTGATTGCTATCTTGGCAACGCGCTTTTCCTGTTTCAAGATTACAATTTTTGTCACATGGTTCATTAAGGGATAAATATGTATGAACTATTGCTTTGCAGTCTTGAAGGACTGGACTGTATTATAGCCATAGTTCGTTATTTACGATCTAGTATATATATATATATCCTGATCATAAATTAAAAATCCATGCAGTTTTATTTAAGTATTAATTTGTTTTCTTATCCCATGGTAGTAATGTGAAAAAAGTACTAGAAATATATGTATTTAATATAGTAAGAAACAGTAGTAAATTAGAGAAGATTTCTGCAAAAATAACAGATGCAAAACAAAATATTCAATGCTAGCCCTCATTAAAATCTTCCGTAGCTTTGAATTTGTACGAACGACCAAACGAGGTGTTTACGTGATATGAGAAAAAGATGCCCCTGTCGACATCTTTTGATGCCGAGCCAAACGCTCTGCTTTTAGTTCTCCCAGTGTAAGTTTTACAGTGATTTAATAAGGATTTCTAAACTATATTTACTGTTATAGTTCAAATTCAGTTTGTTACATTAAAATAAAAATTTTCCAGGTACGATAATCACGGGCCTAATGTTTCTTCGCTTTCCGCTATAAAAGAAATGACTTTGACTAACTCAAACATTAGTGATAATAGAACTAAACCTAGTATTTTTACACGCGTATTACCATCACCATTGACAGTAAAGCAAAATAATAACATAATGAATGAACCTGAAATTAATACCGCGTCCCAATCATTGAAATCTTTAGAAACAGAGAACTTACACCTTGATGAAACTTCGAATGAAGAATTTAATCATATTTATGAAAATCAGACTATCGTACAAAATGACGAATATGAAAATCAGGAACACATTTATAATAATATGGTGTTAAATGAGGACGAATTATATGAGTATGTACCTGTAAACGAAGTTCCAAAACCAATACCTCCTCCAAAACCTAAAAAAAGTGTTCCTGATATTATGTTACATCTAAATGAAGAATTATTAAGTAGAATGGTTAAACAAAAGAGTAATAGTTTAAAACATGTCGGTGACGATGAAATTGATTACATTGATAAAACTAATAAACATGCTATACAGAATAAATTCCAAGATCAAAACGAAAATTTGCCTGATGACGAAAAAGTAAAATTATCTAATTTGAGTGAAAACACTGATAAATCATATTATGTGCCCATGGATAATAAGTACAAACTCCGAAAAAAATTGGTCTCAGATATTTACGGTTATACTTCCGAGTCACGCACTAGTTATATTATTAAACAAAATGATCGTCTATCTGATGTATATGTATGTATGGATAACCAAAAACATCAAGTAGAAAGAAGATCTATTCCTAATATTTTAAGACCAGCAATAAATAGTGTACATTTTAAGGGTGATCCAGGTTGTATTCATGAAAATTTGGATTATTGGTACATATACACTCTAGATCCTAAAGCAGTAAAATATGGTGTACAACCATTTACTAAGACAAAAGAGAAAGCAGAACCAACTTCTTGTTTCTGTCATGAAATATATCATCAAAATGCATTAAAAAACAACATGAAAAAAAATTCTGCTCTGTTTTTCAGTTGTGAAGATCTTTACGCGGACGTGCCTAAAGAACATGTGTATAGTAGATTATCTGATTCAGATTTTATACACACAGACAATCCAGAACTAATAAATATTAATTATGATAATATAAGTTCCTTAAATGTTACTTTCAAACCATTTGATTCTAACACTACTTCTGCAGAAAATGAAAATGCAAAGCAAGAGGAGACATCAAAAAAAATGTCATTATTCGTTATTAAGAAAAAAATTGATCAAATGAAACAACTTATGTTTGATTGGTCCACATAAACTAAAAACAAATTAAGATTACATATTATATTGTTATTTAACAATCCTAATTAGATTAGCAAAAAATAACATTTGGTGATGGTATTACTTTATTATTATTACTAACGAAATATTTTGTTAAAGTATTATTGTTTATAATTTATTCCATTTTTGTTGCTTTTTATGTATTTTGCAGGAAAGCCCCAGAGACCCAGAAAAATACTAACCAAAATAAAAGCTTCTTATCTTCATCTTCATCTTCTTTGACAAAAAATCATTCTCAAAGCTTTGTTAAAAAGCTGGCTTCGAAATGCATGGGCCTGAAAGCTAAATTCAATTCAGTTCCTAACATTTCTAACAGTCCAGTTGTAGAAGCGGACGTCGATGCAAAGAACAAAGTTTTGGAACATAAAACTAACACACACACATTATTAATAGGAAACAGTAAATTTTTCAAAATACTGTCGAAAAAAGAAGAATCGGGTGAAATAATTTGTAATGATGAATTTGATACTATTTCTTTAGATAGAATAAGTGCCTTAAATCGAGACTCAGTTATAAATAAAAGTAATCGAAGTTGCCCCGGGTTCAAAACATCATTACCCAATATCAGCGAAAACAATGAATTTAGTGATTCCGAGAAGTCTGATGCGGAGTTTATTATAGTTGAAAGAATTGTCAATAGTAATGCAAAAGCATTAAATATAAATGAAGCTATTAATCCTATTTCTTCTAATATATTTGAACCTAGAACGGCAAGTATTAGGATATCAATGACATCTAACACCTCTGGGGAATCTGAAAATCTAGTAAATGAGTGTTACGAGGCTTACGACTTTTCTAAATTGTCTACAAAAAATAATAGGAATATCAACTCTATTCCAAAACCTGTACCTAGGCTAAATGTTAGAATTAGTGAAGAGACTAACCCAAACAGTGTTTATGAAAATATAGTAGTAGTTAATAAAAATAAGCCACCAACTCCTGCAGTCAGAACACACATACCAGAAAAATCCACGTCAAATACATTAAAAGAAACTGCGTTATATGAAAATGTTTCTTTAATACGCGAAAAAAAATCTAGTCTATCTAAAAAAGATTTTATATTTACGTCTGAAATTAACGAGAATAAACCTCGAAGCATAAGCAGAGCATCAACTGTTTCTTCTGATTCTATGATAGACGAATCAAATTTAGAAGATATTTTGCTGTCACAAAAATCGAAGTCTTTTAGACATAGTAAGAATTGTGAAATTAATTCTTTTTCTAATAAATCTTTAATAAGAAGTAAATCAAATGCATCTGATTTTTCTGATATGACAGACGCAAGTGCAATAGAAAATGTTGACTGTAGTCAAGATCTTGAACAAAACCCTTATACATCTATGGTAGGCACATTGCCTAATAAAAAAATAAATAATCCCGATAAAAAACATTTACTCTTTAGACATAAAACTTTTACTACTATTGATTTAGATAAAAAATCGTATACATCAGATTTACCCAAGTGGAATAATGAGTTTTTAATAGAAACTCTAGCTCACTATCATATTCGTGGAACAGGACATTGTATATACAAGGCACCAACTGTTACAGAATTTATCTATATTTTTAACAGAGAAACTCTCTACAAACCTGTTCCCCCGTTTACCAAAGTAATAAATACTAACAGAGATAGCTACTTTGAAACAGCTATTTGTTTTTGTAAACCTAAACCACCTAAATATCACAGTAGCGCTGAAGATTTATTAAACGTATGTTCTCGCGATGAAGAAGATAAAGTGAGCATTGATATGAATGCATTGAACAATATGGAGGAAATGGAATTAACATCATTTCGATGTTATTGTTATTCTAAAACGTGTATATTTCATTCAGAAAAACGTGATTCGGGGAACCTAATCGTTAAGTTTTCAGCTATAAAAAAAAGTATATCTACTCCAAACATTACACTCGATTCTTCTTTTTCGACAAACGGTACTAGTAGTTTACTAAAAAATAATTCTATTCCATCAAATTTAGAGCAACCTTATGCTGTTGTCGATATTACTAACATAGTTCCAAAAAATAACACGGTGGAGGATAAAAATAATGACAGTTCTATTTATGTTCCTATGTCACAACACACAACATTGTCATCATCCTATACTCGTTACTCAATAAAAGACATAGAAGAAGTAATATCACAGAGTGATACTTCTATATCGACTTCCGCTATTCCTTGTGCTTCTGATTGTACTGTACGTAAATCAGGCTCCTCGGAACGTTCTGAAAAGTGGTCATTACAATCGTGTGACTCCAACGTTACCATTAAATCCGATGCTAGCTATATTACATGTTTTAATGATTCGTCCGAAGAGTCTGATGATACCTTGCACACTGATGAAGAAGTCTCGGACGCAGAAACGGTTACTTCTGAAATTAGTGGTACTAAAAGACCTTGGGTACATAGTGATTCCTTTAGATTTGGTAGCAAGAAGGAAATCAATTTTGGAATAAATGCAATAACGGAAGAAACAAATGATTCAAGTTCCTCTAAATTTGAGAGTGGTATAAGCGTAAGGAGTTCGGAGACTTCTTCGTCGGATAGCGAGGAGGATGATGTTCCGAGGGCTTCGGAGGTGTCGCTTTGTACTACTGCTTCGCTTGAGCGGGATTCCGGGGTGGTCGGGGCTGTTTGCAGCGGGTCGGGGCGACGGCGGTGGGACGAGACTGAGGGCACTAGCGAGGGTGACGCGTTGAGTATATCCAGCGCTGCATCTAGCTGCGCGCCGTTGCACATGACACATCATCACGAATACAGCAAAGTTTCGGTAAGTTCATTCTGAGTAGTTTTTAATGTAGTTTTAAGTCGTTGTGGCGTGACGATTAAATGTTGTGAGTTTGAATCTGACACCAAGCACCTCTAAACTTTGTGCCATGTGTTAATTTATATTTCTGACTAATCGACTGATAATAGACGATAACAAACTAATTAATCCAAGTGACGGCCGTAGCTTTGCCTTCTGCATATACTATATACAGCAAAATGCTTTGTGTTGACCGCGATGTCGACAGTTGATAATGACAGCCACTGAACACCCTATCTAGAGTTACTGCCGCTAAATTACATTTTTGATGTACGTATTAATAATAATTGAGATTCTAAATGAACATGCATAATAATATGTTAATGATGATAAAATAAAATGCATCATAGTTGTATTTTATTGAATTATCATTTTTTTCACGAATTCTAGCTAACTTTAAACTTTTATTATACAATTTTGTTCGTGGGTTCGACTGTCTCAGGATTAAATTTTATTTACAAACAATTCTCTTTTGTTTTATTTGGATTAGTTTTAAACATGATGAACAACATGATCCTATTGGAAATTAATTATTTTTGCTTATTTACAAATATTTCCAGGATAAAATTATTCAACACATATTAATATAGTAAAACCCCTTATGACATGAAAAATTTTTGATGTTTCGTCTAGTTGGCACTGACCGTGGACGTGACCACGGTTGATTGATTATTTATATATTATATGCATATAATTTGTTTTCACATATATTTTTATTCCCATACATGCATTAGCTATACTAATATTATAACCGACTGTTTTTTGAGTGTGTTTATAGTATTGTCTTGTCATTTAGGGGTATAAATAGTTTACGTCTTATATGAGACAGCTGGGTGACCTAGTGCTTTAGCAGACCGTAAGGAGGTATGCTAAACCGGGTGGATGATCGCGGGTTCGATTCCTTGCACGGTACAAACACTTGTATTCATTAGTATCCTTGTTTATATCGGTCTGGGTGTTTATTATGAATATTATGTATGTGTTTGCAAAACAAATATCTATGTTTGGTACTTATAAAACAAGCTCCGCTTAGCTTGAAAGTAGCTGGTGAAGTGTAAAGGGTTATTATTATTATTCTTAGACCTACTGAATATACACGCAAAATTTCATCAGCATTGTTCAAGCTATTTTGTTTCATTTGTTACAAACACTCTGACATGAGACTTTTATATATAAGATAAACATATTGCGATATTAGGGCGTTGTTAGCGTCTGATGCGTCTTTACTATTTATATCACTGTGCCCTTTGTTACAGAAATAATAAATTTCAATTGGATGTGGGAAAATATTTGTAATTACAGTCAATTAGTCAACTCTAGATTAACGTCCCATTGTGATGCGTCACTAACATTGTCTTTATATAACGTTACTCTCATGTTTTTGTATGGGTTTCATTTATTTTACTCGGTTAAGTTATCTATACATAGTATAAAACATAGTCGCCGACGCTGTCTGTTCGCTTATATCTTTTAAATTACGCAACGGATTTTTATGCAGTTTTCAGCAATAGATATAGAGAAAGGTTTATATGCATAATACATGCGTGTTATAGTATAGAATAAGCCGAGAAATTCAAAGATTTGTTATGCATAAGCGAAACGGGAACGGGTCGCTAGTATGTAAGTTATATATTTGATGGCCTAGGTGGTCTAGTGGTATAGCACACCGCTGTACTTCCCATGGTTGCAGGTTCGATTTCTCGCACGGTGCAAACATTTGTATTACCGAGTATGGTTGTTTGTATTTATCTGGGTATTTTATATGTATCCCATAACACAAGCTCTGCTTACCTTGGCGTTCTGATGCCGTTGTATAAATTGTCAAAGGATATTATTGTAAAAAGGTGCCATACAAAGGAAATCACGATTTATTTCTATGGTACAACAGTTTTACATTATTATAATTTTTACACACCTTCAGTTGTAAATAAAGGGCTTTAATTTCGTCACGTTTGTGTGCATGTCACGCCATGTCACGCGATGTCACGTGTCTCTTATTAACTTTGTCACGAAATCTGACGGACGACCGACATAGCAACATAATAGTATACTAATACTAGCTGACTCGCACAACTTCGTCTGCATCATACTTATTATTATATTTCGTCCAATTTACAAAATATCTTTTTAATTTATAGCCTATATGTTATTCTGATATATAAGCTATATTATTGTAAAGTTTCATCAAAATCCGTTCAATAGTTTTTGCGTGAAAGAGTAACAAACCTCCAACCATACTCACAAACATTTTGCGTTTATAATATTAGAAGGATAACTCTACAGATAGTAAAACTGATTCCATTTAGAGAATAAATAGATAGTCTATTTATATATATTTGCTTTTGTAGAGTGTTATGACCTAGTGGTTAATCGCTCCGATTTATAAACCAAAAGGTTGTGAGTTTAAATCTGCCTTACATTAAATAACGCTCTGTTAATTTATATATAGTCATGTGGGGCAAGTGTGCGCACTTAAGGTTTGAAGTATCATATAATAAAATATTTGAAGTTAACTGGAACAAAACAAGGTTTATTATATAAAATATTTAATAATCAACAACTTAAACGCAAAATAAATAATTATCATTTACACAAATTCTTTGGAAATCAACAAAATCAAAACTGTTTAAATGCGCACACTTACCCAAGTATAGGGGTAAGTGTGCGCAGTGAAAGTAAGTGTACGCAACATGTAACATACAGTAAATAAGTCAGACTCATATGATAAACCAGAAAATAGACATCCTCAACCTAATAATACATCAGTTCACATAATTCCTTTTCATGTTATTGCATTGTTCATGCCACCAGCTCTTACAGATGCTGTATTGGATCCAGTCTTCATTCGGTGGAAATATGTATTTTTCTCCACACAGTGGGCAAAATAATTCCTGCTCATCATTTTATTTATTTTCAGATCAAGTCGTATCTTCTTTTTTGGCAATTTATTCTTCCTCTTGTTTTTTGTTTTTCCAATTCTACTTTATAAGGACTTACAGTATCAATGATTGACTTTTTGCCTATATATTTCGTCGATTTTGAATCACAGTCATTCATCCAAAAATGCCTAAGGCCAACTTCGGTATTTCTTGGATGGATGACATGTATATTCATTCCTAGACGAAGGTACACTCATTTCACACTGTCGTTTGCTACCAACCTCCGAAATTAATCTTTTAACATTTCTAGCTGTTCCTCTGTGACAACACGTCTATCCGGCAATTCTTTTATAAACGAGGCATTTTTTATGTATAATTAAACTTGTAAGTAATTGCATCATAAAAATAAACCCAAAGCGGAGCAGGATATATTCGCATGCGCACACTTACCCGACATTCGTATGACACTTACCCCAAACCATCAAAATAAAATTTAACCAGAACTGAGCAATATTACGTAATCGTCATCACCAAAAGATTAAACACGGCTTATATTACATAAAATGTACTGTTCGATGGTATAAAGCATGATTTCAAAATATAAATATATTACAAAGGAATGAGTCTCTCATTTAAGACAAAAATCGCAATATTTCAAGCAAAAAACAATACTCACTTACGGAAACAAAATGGTTCACCGGCGGACAGTGAAAAAGTTGCACTAAGTATAGCTTTTGTGCGCTAATGTGGAGGGGTGTTATCAGTTCGTACCTATAAACCGTTTTTGAAATACTTCGAGTGCGTACACTTACCCGCTGCGCACACTTGCCCCACGTGACTCTATAACTGTTTCTCAGGTAATGGAAACACCGATAACTAACTAAGTTATATTGGCTCTTTGCCATATTGGATTCATATATACTTAGTCAACTCAAGGGAAAATTAAAGTTTGTTACGCTTACCGTGACGTCGACAGTTGACAATGTCTGTTTACCCCATCTGGGTTTATGGTCGTGAAAGTATATGTTTAGCGACGGAAACACAGTAATAAAGAAAAAAAATGTACAAAAGCAGGCCGTGAGAACACTACAAACGTCGCTGTATGTCTTACTTGTCACATGGCTTATGATGTTGCCAACACTCGATAATTTGTTTCAAAAGAATAGTGACAATTATGACTTATATCTCGGTGGAATACGGTTCAATATTCGTTTTGTTCAATATACTTTATTTATTACATGCACGGGCGTAGTTATTATATGCATATATATTTACTTTATAATTAAAAAACAATGCATTTCACGGGCTGATAATGTGATTTACTCTAGGTGAAAGAAATTTCATACATAGTAATATTATTCAATTAACATTTTACGAATAAACGATACAACAGATTTTAATAAAATTTTACATGAACGTACATTGTGTTATGACGACGAAGATAGGCTATATTGTATCTAAAATCGACGACGTAAGAATAAACAATATTCTTTATATGCTGTTAGTTTATATAGATATCCCAACCATTGCCTTTCTTTATTCGATTAATATTATTATATAAAATAATAATTTTTAGAGGGGTTAAAAAAAAATGATAATTCTTTTTATGTTTTATTTGTATAATAGAAACTATTTGAAAGATCTCAGGATAAATGAAATTAATCTCAGGATAAATTTGGTGTTCAATTACCAAACGTAAAAAAAATACTGGTAGTATTTAGTACCAGATTTATTTCGTTTTGGGAAACAGGAATGACTAGGTTGAACTTGGTGAGCGAAGCCGGGGCGCGCAAACAGTTGTATATTTTTTAATTAACGATTAATGATGTCTATCAGTATGCCATATGGGCGGAATGTGTGGTGAATGAAGGCGCGAAGAAAATTAGGCGGCCAGTCGCTTCGTCGCGTTGCGATCGACGCCGGCGTCTCGTGATCGAGTTTACAAATTATTTCAGTGATCGAACACTAATCTAATGTGTGACGAGTGGAGTGTATTGTGCGTGAGGTGTAAGTGAGATAGTGTAGTGCGTTAGGGGTGCAGTGATAGTGTGATTTGTGTAAGTATCTACATAGATCATCATCATC